CAAGACCCCATGGGTGGCTTTCAAGGCAACCGATCCTTTGCCTCGTCAGCAGACGAAGCTGACGGGGACGAACAAAACGTGGACGGAGCCTCGGAAGAAGCCAGACTTCTGCCCTACTGCTCCGTACCTATTCCGATGGATGACGACAACCCTCGCGAAAGTGTCAACGCCGAAGCTGCCTACTATCACTTCACCGACAATGGTTACGTTACACCCCAACCCGTCAACACCAACATCTCAGAACGCATAGGCCCCCAATTTCGCACCTGATCTAGAAGCGGGAGACGAAGCAGTCTATCTCGAGAACCCAAGTCTCCCTCGACTCACACAGAATGGCCTGCAAATTCTCGGCCTTGTCACCTCCGTCCATGGAACGCCGCTGCCTATAGAGCCTACTACTGTCAAGCAGGCTCTGGGGGGGGAGCACGGGGAAAAATGGCGCGAAGCGATGGACAAGGAATTAAAAGCCTTGGAATACCGCAACACGTGGAAAATGGTCCCCATCGCCAAAGCACCTGACAAAACCATACTCACGGGAAAATGGGTCTTCCGCGTGAAAACAAAGGCAGACGGAACGATTGACAGGTTCAAAGCACGATGGGTCGTACGTGGCTTCAATCAACAACACGGACGAGACTTCACTGAAACTTTCGCACCGGTCAGCTGGCACACTTCACTGCGAATTCTCCTCGCATAAGCCGCCATGAAATGCAAGAAGATCTGCCAAATTGATGTAGCCAACGCATTTCTTTACGCTTCCGTTGATGTAGAGATCTTTGTCGAACAACCACACGGGTTCATCAAAGACCCAAATCAAGTCTGCCAACTGTTGAAATCGCTGTATGGAATCAAACAAACTCCGCGACTATGGCAACAGTACCTGCACTCCCGACTGATTTGCATCGGCTTCCAGCAACTACCGCATGATTAGGGGATGTACAGACTCACAAAAAAGACAGAGTACATCCTACTGATCGTCTACGTAGGCTCTACCTCCGACATCACCACCTGGTTCGAAGGGGAGCTGCAGCAGGATCTCTCACTCACGGTCTCCCCCTCCGTGACTCAGTACCTGGGACTCAACATACTCGATGGAGAGAACGCAATCTACCTCAGCACCGCGAAATACACCTACACCATCGTAAAACGCTTCGGACTAACGCTAGCTGCCATCTCCACGCCTTATCGCTACACCGCGGCAAATCACCAGGGAGAATCTAATCCGCTCACCCCTGTTGGCCAACGCGACTACCAGTGGAAACTAGGATGCTTGCTCTTCGCAGCCGTCAACTGTCGAGCGGATCTGTCATACTCGGCGAGCCAACTCGATACCTATCTCAAAAGGCCTGAAGTAGAACACATGGCGGAACTCGATCGCGCACTACACTATCTCATCAGCACACCGGCAATCGGCTGTGAGGATCTGGTTCAGGAAAGATGATTCTATTGAATGATTCACCTGGGTACAAGGCGAGGCTATATATAGGCTCGACACAAAGGCAGTAACCCGGGTGTTACTAGAAGGTTCCGCGGGTCGCGAAGCGTCCCGAACGGGTCCTTCCCAAATTCGGTAGAAGGCAATTCGGTGGCAACCGAAAAGCCTAGAATTCGGTGCACTCAACCTAGTTCGGTGCCTACAACTATAATAACTATAGTAAAGGCAACGAATCTAGGAAATCAAGCAAAAGCATGCAAGATAAAATAAAGCTAAGCTAGTAATAACATAATAAAGTCCAGGCAAGCTAGCAAAGCCAGCATAAGCCGTGCGGTTTTCTAGGGTTTCGGCGGTTTTCATCCCGCCGTGCGCTCGGGGCGCGCGGCGGTTTTCTGCACGCCGTGCGCCCCGAGGCGCGCGGCGGTTTCCCACCGTCGAAGCGCCCTCCCCTCGTCGCCGTCGACCCCCCGCGTCGCCCCGCAGCCCCGCGCGTCGCCCCCGACGTCTCGTCGCGACACCTTGGGGAGCCGCGCGCGGCCCCCCGCTACCTCGTCGCGACGCCGTGGGGAGCTGCGCGCGGCCCCCGCTGCCTCGTCGCGACGCCTTAGGGAGCCGCGCGCGGCCCCCCGCTGCCCCGTCGAGGCGCCCTGGGGAGCCGCGCGCGGCCCCCGCTGCCCAGAGGTGGCGCCCTGGGGGTCGCGCGCCTTCCCCCTCGCCGTCCCCCGCGCTCCTTCTCCCTTTCGCCCGTTTTAGGGTTTGGGGGTGGGGAGTGTGGGGGTGGCGGCTGTGGGGGTGTCGGTTGTGCGTTACTCTACCTACTCCTCCTCCTCCCTAGTCTCCCTCTACTGCAGCTGCCGCTGAGGGGGGTGGTGTGTGGGAGTCTAGGGTTTGGGGTTTAAGGGGGGGTACCGTGGGAGTGGAGCTAGGGGTGAAGCAAGGGGTGTGTGTCGAGGGGTGTGGGACTGTTGGGGGAGGTTGAGCGGAGACTGCCGTCGTGTCGTCCGCAGCACCTGTATTCCGGGGTTCCGCGGACCTCCGGTAGCTCAGAGAGCCGGCTGCACCTGTCGCCCGTGGGTCCGCTGCACCCTCCGCAGCGACTATTACCCCTGTAGTCCGGGGCTCTGCTTCCGGTAGCCACTAGCGTTGCGCCAGAGCCGTCTGATGCCCGTGTGTCTGCAGCTTCAGTCGTCGCCTCCACTCCTTTCTCCTCTCGCCAGCCCTCCTCCTCCTCATTTGTCCTCTGTGACCGCCTCTAGCTTTGCTCATAACTTATAAACTGTTGCTTCTTGAACTTGTGCTCAGAATGTGTGGTGACATCGTGATCCACCCTGAGCTTGTACTGCTTTGCTTGCTCTGCTGATTACACCCCACTTTGGCTATGGGGGTGTGTCAGAATGTTATATTTGTCTAGCCTGCAGTGGGGTGCTCTGTAGCGAGTACAACCCTTCTAGGGTTTGCTATTTGTATCCCCATTCTTGCTAGTTCAACCCTCTCTCTTTTTGCCTAATTTTCTCGACACAAAGCGCTTGCGAACAAGGCGCCATGGCGCCTGCGAACAAGGTCGTGGTGGTGGTAAAACACGATATTTGCGGGATGGGCGACAGTGGTATGGTATAAAACGGGAGAGAGAACATGTACAGAAGGAATTCGAGTATGCAGTTCGAATTGGAAGGGAATTGGAAGCGCACAGCAGCGAAGCGACTGGTAGAGGGAGCATGGTAGAAACTAAATTCAAGAAACCGTCAGCAGTAAATTCGAGTTGATAGCGGAAGAAAGGGAGGGCATGTGGTGCTGGCAAGAAAATGGGTGGTTGCTCCTACGATCAAGTGATGATCGTCACCAGGATCCACTCAGGAAGGTTTGCACGCAGTAAGGTAGTGTTGGTGGGCCCTTGACCTCAATAGCAGAGTGAATGTAAAATGCTTGAGATGATGAAAACGTGCAATCACAACGATATAAATAAGCGCACAGGGGAATACGAAACGACCTAACTAGCCATGTACCCTAAGGGGTACATTCCCTTATTCAAATGCATCCCCAACCGTGCGGCGCGTACAGTTACGAAACTGTTCCCGCCAAAACCATCCTGCCTGCAGCTGTCCGATGCCGTCTGCTCCGACGGTCCAGATGTGCTGTAACTGTCTGACGCTTCGAGTCAATTCTTAACCGTCTGACTCTTCGCGTTCGTTCTCGATACTGCATGCTTCTCTTTGCTGCGGTGAGGAGTGCACAGTAACATTCGAGTATTACTATTCGTAACAGTTGCAAATGTGTGGCGCTGGGAAGAAAATTTTCTGCGATGACAAAACGAGGCAAAAAACCGGTTTTTAAAATAAGCGTACAGTGGTACGACGATTGGGCGAATTGCAAGCTACATTCACAGGCGAAATTGAAATTAACCTGGGCACATGATAATTAAAAACAAAGAAAGCACACACACAAGATTTGGATGTAGGATCACGTGACAACACACGCATGGCCACGCTATCCATCTGTCTGACACATCAAGGTGAGCCGCATATAAACAAACCCACTAAGAGTAATGTGATATTGTTAATCAGTTGTAGGTGAAAAACACAATTCGTATTATAATAACAAAAAATATCAATCGGTAAATCGTTCCCCATTAACTTGTCAAACATTGCATGTTTATATTATGTAGGCTGTAGTGGGTTACACCTTAGGGGGTACTCAAAGTTAGGGTTTCCTACTTGTACCAAACTCTGTGCTAGTTCATTCATTCCTGCTCAGTTATTTCTGACATGGTTTCAGAGCAGGTCCTTCGTTAGGACTGTTCTTAGGGCCCACCGACTTACCTACCTGCTTACCTTCGCTTGTTTCCGGCCCCGCTGGCCCCGTCGATCTAGCGGCCCTCCGGCCCCCCCTTCGAATTTTTTTTTTTCCTAGCGGCCTCTCACGGCCCCCGTCGCGTCGCCCCTTAGCGCCCCGATCGGCCCCGTCACGCCGCCCGCGAACCGCACAGCGCGCCGCGCTCACAGCCCGCGAACCGCCCACGCGCAGCCCGCGAACCGCCTGCGCAGCCCGCGACCAGCCCGCGCAGCCCGCGCACAGCCCGCGAACTGCCCGCGAGCAGCCCGCGACCTGCCCGCGAACCCCCGCGAGCCGCCCGCGACCCGCTTACGCAGCCCGCGAGCAGCCCGCGCAGCCCGCGCTGAGCCTGCGCGGCTCTTGCGCTGACCGCCGCCGGCCCGCACGCTGCCCGCGCAGCGCACATACGGCCTGCACGGCCCGCGCGCTGCCTGCTCCCGGCCCGCCGCTGCTGAGCCCGCAGCCGCCCGCGCACCGCTGCTGCTGAGCCCGCCGCCGCCCGCGCACCGCCGCTGCTGCGCCCGCCGCCGCTCGCGTATCACCGCTGCTGAGCCCGCCCCTGCTGCGCCGGCTCTCGCTGCCGCCTGCTGCGCCTGTGCACCACTGCAGATCCTACTACTACACTTCCTGCTACTGCTGCTTGTGCGCCACTACAGTCCGTAGGCCCCACCGGCCCCGTTGACCCTGCGCACGCCTTTTCAGTGACTTTACTGCTTCTACTACTGCCGCTGTCGCTATGGCTAGTCCTCCTGTTCTAGCTTTCGACGCCGAGGGCCGTCCGGTCAAATTCGAAACCTGGCTAGATGACCTGCACCTTTTCCTACAGCTCACTGCCAAGGAAGATATTACACTGTACGACCACGCTCTCGGCCATGCGACCGCCCCACCCGCTACTGCCCCCCCAGCTGAGCGCTCACAGTGGCAGACCCGTGACGCGCACGCTCGCTTTGCTATTCGCAACTCCCTGCCGCTAGATGAGCGCGAGCACTTCGGCCAGTGCAAGACTGCTAAGGACCTCTACACAGCTGTAGTGGCCCGCTACTCCTCACCCGCTTCTGCCACTCTAGGCCGCCTCACTCTCCCCTACCTGTTCCCCGACCTAGCCTCCTTTCACACTGTCGCAGACCTCATCACCCACCTTAAGACTAGTGAGGCTCGCTTTCGCGCTGCCATGCCTGACGAGTTCCTCGCTAGCAACCCCCCCCCCGCTCTGGATCACTCTCTACCACGTTGTCACCCGCCTCCCTGACTCTCTGCGCCCTGTCAGGGACCAGTTCCTCTCTCGCTCCCCCACTGAGCTCACCGTAGACCTCCTCGAGAAGGAACTGCTTGCAGCCGAGGCTAGTATCGTCGCTGTAGGCACCTCTCGTGGCGACCCCCGCGGCCCCTTCTTTGAGGGGTGCTCCCCTTCCCCCCTCCTCCCCTCTGTCGCCTCTGCTGCTGCTGTCGACCTCCTTGGTGCTGAGAAGGTCGGGGCTGCGTCTGCTTCAGGCGGACGACGCAGGGGCAGGAGTGGCAGGAGTGGGGGTGGTGGCGGAGGAGGCGGAGGTGGAGGTGGTGGCGGTGGAGGTGCGACTGGAGAGGCTAGTGGCGGCAGTGGTGGAGGTGACAGCGGCGTTGGGAGTGGTGACAGGGGCGGAGGTGGCAGCGGAGGCGGAGGTGGTCGTGGCAGCGGCAGGGGTGGAGGTGGCCGGGGCGGAGGCGGAGGGGGTGGTGGTCGTGGAGGCCCGGGGGGCGGTCAGAGTCAGCAGCCTGCCCCGACCCTTCAGGCCGCTCGTGAGTGGTATGCGCGGCGCAGCGTCACCTGCCAGTATGTTATTCGTACAGGTGACCGCACTGGCCAGACGTGTGGGGGGCCGCACCAGACGGAGCGCTGCTTCGCCCGCCTCAACGATGCGTGGCGCACCCAGTTTCCTGGTGGGGGTGAGCTGCCGCGCTGGGCTGAGCTGCTCAGGAAGGGTGTTGATATTTGGGCACTAGACTTTGATGCTATTCTCACTGCCATGTATGCGATGTCTATTAGTGGAGAGGGTGCTCAGTACTTGCGTGTTCCGCCCGACCCGGGCATTCAGGCCAGCCCCACTGCTGCTCTAGGTGCTAGTGTGTCTGCTTCCACAGGTACTACTGCAGCTGCTGCTCTAGGTGCTTGTGCGTCTGTGCCCCCTGGTACTGAGTCGACTGCAGCACTGCACACCTTCACACTGGACTCAGGTGCTTCTCGCTCTTTCTTTCGTGACCGCACTGTCCTTGAGCCTCTAGCTCGGCCGGTTGCTGTCTCTCTTGCTGACCCCTCTGGGGGTCCGGTCCTTGCGACCTCCTCCACCACCCTTCCGTGTCCAGCGGTTCCGTCCGGCACGCTCTCAGGTCTCTACCTCCCCTCGTTCTCCACGAACTTGGTGGCAGGTAGTGCGCTCCAGGACGGGGGTGTTCACCAGTTCACCCCTGCCTACGAGCGTGTGACTCACTGCACGTGTGCTCGGACGGGTCGCCACCTGGCTACCTTCACTCGGGAGCCGGGGTCGGACCTTTACACACTGACCACTGAGTCCCCTCAGGTAGCTGCGTCTGCGTCAGCGTCAGGTCAGCTGTCCGCCCCCTGCTCGTGTCGCTCTCTGGCGAACGACACCGTCCTCTGGCACCACCGCCTTGGTCACCCGTCTGTGCAGCGCCTGCGGGCCATGCACAAACGGGACCTTGTTGCTGGTCTTCCCAGGGTGCTCCCTCCCCTTCCTGACTCCCCTGCTCCTGACTGCATTCCCTGTGTCGAGGGGCGGCAGCGCGCCGCTCCTCACTCCTCCTCCTTTCCCCCGACGACAGCTCCCCTGCAGACGCTCCACATGGACGTGTGGGGCCCAGCCCGCGTCCGTGGTCAGGGTCAGGAGAGATACTTCCTGATAGTTGTTGACGACTACTCGCGCTACACCACGGTCTTCCCCTTGCGCGCCAAGGGTGACGTCCCTGGTGTTTTGATCCCCTGGATCAGCCGAGCCCGTCTCCAGCTAGGCGAGCGCTTTCACTCGGACTTTCCTGTCCTGCGCTTGCACTCTGACAGAGGTGGTGAGTTTGCCTCCGACCTCTTGGCAGCCTACTGTGCTGAGCACGGCATTGAGCAGTCGTACACGCTTCCGGCCTCTCCACAGCAGAATGGGGTCGCTGAGCGCCGCATTGGCTTGGTCATGGAGGTCGCTCGTACCTCCCTGACCCATGCGGCTGCTCCCCACTTTCTGTGGCCGTTTGCGGTCCGGTACGCAGCGCATCAGCTCAACCTCTGGCCCCGTGTCTCCTTGCCGGAGACTTCCCCGACTCTACGGTGGACGGGAGAGGTTGGCGATGCGTCGCGTTTCCGGGTCTGGGGATCTCGAGCTTTTGTCCGCGATACGTCCGCGGACAAGCTCTCGCGTCGCGCTGTTCCCTGTGTCTTTCTTGGCTTTGTTCCCGACGCGCCTGGATGGCAGTTTTACCACGTCACCTCGCGCCGGGTTCTGGCCTCTCAGGACGTCACTTTTGACGAGTCCGTCCCCTTCTACCGCCTCTTCCCCTACCGCACTGCCCCGCTCCCCCCCCCGCCTCTCTTCCTCGCTCCAGGTGCTGAGGTACCAGACCCCCTCCCCCCTCAGGGTGCCGCTCCCTCAGGTGTGTCCCAGGTAGACCCGGGTGAGCCTGTCGAGGTAGCTGTTGACTCGCGTCCTGCGTCTGGGGGTGCTGAGCCTGGGAGTGCTGCGTCTGAGGGTGCGGAGCCTGGGGGTGCTGAGCCTGGAGGTGCGGAGCCTGGGGGTGCTGAGCCTGGAGGTGCGGAGCCTGGAGGTGCGGAGCCTGGAGGTGCGGAGCCTGGAGGTACTGAGCCTGGGGGTGCTGAGCCTGGACGTGCTGAGACTGGGGGTGCTGAGTCTGGGGGTGCTGAGCCTGAGCGTGCTCCACCTGGAGGAGCCCTCTCCTCCCAGCAGCTGCAGGAGAGGTACCTCGAGTACTGCCGCCTCCGGAGAGGTGCTTCTGGAGCTCGTCCCGGTACTTCCCCTCCTACCCAGGAGCTCCCCCCCATTCAGGTGATCCGCGAGTGGTACACGCGGCGCTGCAGTCTTCGTAGTGGTGCTCCTGGTGCTGCGGACCTGAGCGGTGGTGCTGTTGCTGGTGCTGAGGACCCGGACGCTGGAGCTGCTGCTAGTGCTGAGGACCCGGGCGTTGGAGCTGCTGCTGGTGCTGAGGACCCGACCGGTGGAGCTGCTGCTGGTGCTGAGGACCTGACCAGTGGCCCTGCTGCTGGTGCTGAGGACCCGGGCGTTGGAGCTGCTGCTGGTGCTGAGGACCCGACCGGTGGCGCTGCTGCTGGTGCTGAGGACTCGGGCGTTGGAGCTCCTACTGGTGCTGAGGACCCGGGCGTTGGAGCTGCTGCTGGTGCTGAGGACTCGGGCGTTGGGGCTGCCACTGGTGTCCCTCCTGCTTCTGGAGACGCTGCGCGGCCGCGACCGTACTTCGTACCGCTCCTTCAGCAGGTTCTTGGTCAGGCTCCTCCTCCTAGTCCTCCTCCGTCAGTCGAGTGTCCTCTGCCTGTCCAGCCGCAGTCACAGTTACCGCCTGCCTCGCCTCTCCCTGCTCCCTCCCCTTACGCTGGTCCCACAGGAGGTCTTACAGAGCGTCGTGAGCCTGAGTCTCGTCCTGCGTCGCCTGTTCGTACTGCTCGCACTGGTCGTCGTGTCCCACGTGAGCGTCCTCCTCCTGTCCCTGGCACTCACTACATGACTCTGCGTCCCTCCACTGCTCCGCAGCGTGTCCCGCTGCCGTCTCCTCCTGCGTCCTCTCTTCCTACTCTTCCTGACCCGGAGTCTGACTCCCGTCGTGCTGCCAGTCCCACTGTTACGCGTCTCCTCGCTACAGTTGTCACTGACCCGACCTTTGAGTCCTCGGCTGCGTCTGCTCTGGTCGCTGAGTTGGTTGACTTTGCTGCTCGCTGTCGCCTAGACTACGCTGCCAGCCTTGTCGCTAGGTCTGAGTCTGCGTCTGCCTGTCCTCCGTCCGTCGGGGGTGAGTGTGCCCTCGGCACGGACGTCCTTGAGGACAGACAGGAGGAGTTCCACTGCCTTGCTGCTGCTTTGCCCCGTCTCGTGTCCTTGCTAGTTGCCCCTGAGGGAGACCCGGATGCACCAGACATCCCGACCCCACGCTCTTACGCTGAGGCGATGGCGGGTCCCTACTCCTCTCAGTGGCAGACAGCCATGGACGCAGAGATGGCCTCCTGGAAGTCCACAGGCACCTACGTAGACGAGGTTCCCCCTCCTGGGGCGAACATCGTCAGTGGCATGTGGATTTTCAGGGTGAAGCGGCCGCCGGGTTCTCCACCTGTCTTCAAGGCGCGCTACGTGGCTCGAGGCTTCAGTCAACGAGAGGGAGTAGACTTCTTTCAGACCTTCTCCCCCACCCCGAAGATGACTACTCTTCGGGTGCTGCTGCACATAGCCGCTCACCGCGACTACGAGCTTCACTCTCTTGACTTCAGCACTGCTTTCTTGCAGGGCAGCCTGCACGAGGAGATCTGGCTGCGCCGCCCCCCTGGCTTCACTGGGTCAGTTCCTCCTGGCACCCAGTGGAGGCTTCAGCGGCCGGTCTACGGTCTCCGCCAGGCGCCACGTGAGTGGCACGACACACTGAGGACGACACTTGCGGCTCTTGGGTTCGCTCCCTCTACTGCTGACCCGTCGCTGTTTCTACGCACCGACACCTCGCTGCCGCCGTTCTACATCCTCGTGTACGTCGACGACTTGGTCTTTGCCACTGCTGACACCGCGGCACTCGCTCACGTGAAGTCGGAGCTGCAGAGGAGACACACGTGCACAGACCTGGGTGAGCTGACGAGCTATCTTGGCTTGCGGATCACCCGGGACAGAGCACGGCGCACCATCACCCTGACTCAGTCACACATGGTGCAGCAGGTTCTCCAGCGCTTCCGCTTCACGTACTCCTCGCCTCAGTCCACTCCTCTGCCTACCGGTCACTCGCTCTCAGCTCTGCCTTCGGATGAGTCCGTAGAGCCGAGTGGCCCGTATCCAGAGCTTGTGGGCTGCCTCATGTACCTGATGACCTGCACTCGACCTGACCTTGCATACCCTCTTAGCATCCTAGCACGCTATGTCGCTCCTGGCCGTCACCGGAAGGAGCACATGGATGCTGCTAAGAGGGTGTTGCGCTACTTGTGCAGTACGTCGGGCATGGGGCTTGTGCTTGGAGGGCGAGACCGGGTTGTTCTCACAGGGCACTCAGACGCTTCTTGGGCAGACGACCAGGCTACTCAGCGGTCGTCCCAGGGTTACACCTTCAGCCTTGGCTCTGGCTCAGTTTCTTGGCGTTCTACTCGCTCTTCTTCTGTTCTCAGCTCCAGTTGTGAGGCTGAGATCTACGCCACAGCCATGGCTGCTCAGGAGCTACGCTGGCTGACCTACCTGCTGACCGACCTCGGAGAGCGGCCTCGTTCTCCTCCAGTGCTGTACGTCGACAACAAGGCTGCCATTGCCTTGTGTGAGGAGCACAGACTGGAGCACAGAACGAAGCACATCGCTCTGCGGTACTTCCTTGCTCGAGAGCTGCAGCAGCGTGGTCAGCTTTGTCTGCGTTACGTGGCCACGGAGGCCAACACTGCTGATGTGTTCACCAAGGCGCTTCAGCCTTGTGATCATCAGCGCTTTTGCACTCTGCTAGGCCTTGTACCTACTGGGCCTCACTTGCTTACCTCTTGATCTTGCTTGTACTGTGATCACTATATATATATGCCTACTTGTTTACTTTTGCTAGGTTGTGATCACTGTATCTCTTGCTTTGTTATAAACCTGCATGTGAACTGGTCTTGTGACCGCTTGCTTGTGCTCGGAATTTGTGTGGAATCCTTGAGATCCACCCTGAGCTTGCTTTGCTTTGCTTTGACTGGTCTTGTGACCCTGTGGTTGTCTCCCACTGCGCCTATGGGGGTGTGTCAAACATTGCATGTTTATATTATGTAGGCTGTAGTGGGTTACACCTTAGGGGGTACTCAAAGTTAGGGTTTCCTACTTGTACCAAACTCTGTGCTAGTTCATTCATTCCTGCTCAGTTATTTCTGACATAACTATCACTCAATCACAAGGGAGACAAATGCTAAGCGAATTTTGTAATAGGACGTGCATAGTTTGTGATTTTTTTTAACATGATATAATGCATTTTCGGTTTTTTTTTTTTCGAATACTATAATAGTAACGCTACGCAACCCTTACGATGTTCATCGTCGAGCCCTGTTATTTTTAGTTGTTGGCTGAATCAAAACTCAAGGATGAACAAGAGTTATTTCAGTGGACGCTTTGAATTCCCCCGAGCGACTATGTGGGGACAAACATTTATTCAATCAAGAAGACTTTATGTTTACAATACGGTAGAGAATTTTGAACACTTATGTAAGGATTTTTTCTTTTTCAAATCCCCTACTACGAACCTCACTTCATCGATTACAAACGATAGTGTTCATAGGCTTGACCATTCTTCGCCCATTACCATGTACCACTGTTTGCCCCACCGCGCGCTACTTTTGTCAAACCACACAATCTTATACAAGGCCGAGTCGGCCTATGCCTAGGAACTAGTTCAAACCTCTCTGCCATCTCTGCGTAGGAGCTTGCTGTCAAACTATGTTTATATATATTTGTTAAAATAGGTTCATAACTTAGGACTAGGAGCCTAGGGTTTAGCCTAGGCCACCTAGAGTATCAAGAGAGTAGGCAAAGCAAAAGAGGGCTTCATTATGGAATTGCAAGTACAAATAGTGGAGAAACATGCAGGGAGTGGTGCACCACCAAAAAGAACAGCTATGTAACTACACTACAGCTAGAAGTACATGCACTTATACAGAAATATATATATATATATATATATATATATTCTGACATACCCCCTAAGTGCATGCAGGAATAGCCCTGCGCAGAACACCCCATGAAGTGG